AAGTTTTGCAAGCTCTTGACCCGAGCTTACGTTCACCCTCAGTACAAGTGGGGTCAATCTCCCTGGCATTGTCTCCCGAGGCCACCCCCCATAGACGCCCTCACGTTTCTCCTCAGCAGGCGGGAATCTTCCGTGGTTTTCGAAAGATTCTCGCCTGCTGAGGACGAAAGCAGAACCAAGCTTCCTAATTTTTGGAGGCCTTGCGGAAATAAGCAGGGCTGATGTGTGTGTGAAAAAATAGACCTACGAGAAAGCTTGTCGTTTGGACAACTCGTCAGCCCTGCCACTCTCGGTGCACAGACTCAGGATTCATTCTGGTTTCGTTTGGCTTTCTTACGAAGGTATTTCTGCGTGGGTCTACCGCCTGGGAAGCAAGGGACTCGTTGGCCGCCCGGAAGCACTCTGCGAGCCGCAACCGCGACCCGGTGAAACTGGAATTAAGGAAAAGCCTGAGGAGAAGTTGTCAGCGACTCAGGCGTTACCATGACGCCTTTGTGCTGGAAGCGCCGCGGGCTTCACCTAGGCTCCGGGAGCTGCATTTCTCGCGGTGGTAGTACTGCTTTTCGTGCTTTTCAATCTCCCGAGTCCGATTCTCCGTGTAACGTCGTTTTCTGCACGTGGAAGGTTATGTAGATGGGTGAATTCCTTCTTTGGTTTCCTGTTGTCTTCCGCAAGATGTAATGTTTGCGAACCCTGCAGATGTTCTCGCGTTACTGTGGGTGCTGCTGTTCCGTGTGCCTCTCGGCTCATCACGGACTGTTGTATTTCCGTTTTCTGTTGATAGACGTTCGGCTTGAGTGCAGCCTCAGGCCCTCTCAACACTATGAGAGATGTTCTTGCACGTCCCACCTAGTGGTACGACGGACATGGCCTTCGATTTAGCTTCCATTTTACTAAGTAGTGGTGATTTTCTTCCTAAGTAGTCATACCATTTCAGACTTCCTGTGAGAGAAATTGATCAAAGTGTGTACTTCACTTTTCATTTCTCTAATGCCAATTTTTGCTTTTTCGTCCAAAGAGATTGTAGCAGGGTACCCTCGCCAGCACTATATCAACATTACGTTGTTTTTCACATGCTGAGCAACTCCTGCTGTTTTCAGGCTTTTACAAATTTTTTTTTTTTTTTTTTTTTTTACAAATTTTAAAACAAATAAATTTATTTATTTCTGGCTGCACTGGGTCTTCGTTGCGGTGCGCGGTCTTCTCCTTCTGGTGGCTTCCCTTGTGGCGGAGCTGGGGCTCTCGGTTCTCCTTCTGGTGGCTTCTCTTGTTGCAGAGCTGTGGCTCTCGGCGCGCGGGCTTCAGTAGTGGTGGCTCGTGGGCTCTAGAGCGCAGGCTCAGTAGTTGTGGCGCACAGGCTTAGCTGCTCCGGGGCATGTGGGATCTTCCCAGACCAGGGCACGAACCTGTGCCCCTTGCATTGGCAGGTGGATTCTTAAGCACTGCGCCACCAGGGAAGTCCCTCAGGCTTTCACAAGTTTTGACCATCTGGTAGGTATCAAATCCGTCGTTTAAAGCGTCGGCATAGAATTGCACTGTGTGGATGAGCCATCACTTGTTCTAATCAAGGCATGTAGATAGTTTCCAATTTTTCTATTTTATAATCAAAGCAGCGGTTGTCCAATTACTTCCTTAGAATAAATTCCAGGAGTGGAAATGCTGGACTGAATGTTCCACACATGAAAATTTTTGATCCGTATTACCGAGCTGCCATTCGGCAAGCTTGTACAAGTTTATATTGCCATCTGCAGGATTTGCGTGCCTTTCCCCCCATACCCGTTTCAAAAGCAGCTTTAAAAAAAAAATCTAAGTGATGTATATACCTAATTTTAAAGGTCAAATGACGCAAGGCTTTCAGGAGAGCAAAACCCCAAACTGCTTTTCCCCATCCCAATTCCCACTTCCCAGAAACCACCAGTTTACATCCTTAGCCGTTTCATCTGTCTGCTTCTCTATCTCATAATACGCTTCTACTGCTCTTTCTTCATTTTGTTTTAAACTGTGGCAGACTCAGCTAGTTGCCCACCCTGATACCAATTTCTTCCTCAGCCTTCAAAGGTAGGTCAGAATTCCTGAGCCTTTCCAGGGTTCTGAAGCATTAAAATCGCCTGGTCACCACCTGGCTGCTGTTAGCTGCTCTCCTGAATTTTTTTCAAATAAATTTTATCTATCATCTATCTATCTATCTATCTATCTATGTATCTACCTATTTTTGCCTGAATTGGGTCTTCATTGCTGTGCGTGGGCTTTCCCTAATTGCGGTGAGTGGGGGCTACACTTTGCTGCGGCGTGTGGGCTTCTCATCGCAGTGGCTTCTCTTTTTGTGTGCAGAGTATAGGCTGTAGGCGCGCGGGCTTCAGTATTTGTGGCTCGCAGGCTCTGGAGCACAAGTTCAGTAGTTATGGCGCACGGGCTTAGTTGCTCCGGGGCCTGTGGGATCTTCCCGGACCAGGGCTGGAACCTGTGTTCCCTGCGTTGGCAGGCGGATTTTTTTTTTTTTTTTTTTTCTGTACGTGGGCCTCTCACTGTTGTGGCCTCTCCTGTTGCGGAGCACAGGCTCCGGACGCGCAGGCTCAGCGGCCATGACTCACTAGCCTAGCCGCTCCGTGGCATGTGGGATCTTCCCGGACCAGGGCACGAACCCGTGTCCCCTGCATCGGCAGGCGGAGTCTCAACCACTGCGCCACCAGGGAAGACCTGGCAGGCGGATTCTTAACCACTGCACCACCAGGGAAGCCCTGCTCTCCCCCTTTTGTCAGTATGAATTTATCATTTTTCCTTTATTCCTTTACTGTCATTTAGTGGGGTTTTGTGGATGGCGTGGAGATAAATGGATGTATTTAATCTACCATTTTCCACCTGAATTCTCAAGATCCTGTAGATTTTATTTTTTATTTTTTTATTGTGATTTTTTATTTTGGCTGCACCACACAGCTTGCGGGATCTCAGTTCCCCGATGAGGGATGGAACCCGTGCCCCCTGAAGTGGAAGCTCAGAGTCCCAACCACCGGACGGCCAGGGAATTCCCGATAATGTAGATTTTAGAAAAATGAAAAGAAACCCTTTGAAAACGATTCCAATAGTATCTGTTTTACTAAGGCTCTTCTGAAAATAGGATAACATTGGGGACACGGGATGGACCTTAAACCACATGCAATCCCACCCTTTTCTTTTACGAAGGACGCAGCCGAGCGCCCCCTCGTGGAGTATGTTGCCCAAGCCAGTCTGACTTGTCCCTCGGGCCTCTTTGCCCTGGGCCCAGAGCTTCACCATCCTGGCGGGCCACCAAGGGACTCGGGGAGTTTCTAAAAATCCCATGCCCAGGACTCCACCCTGGGCCAATTAAATGATTCTCTCAGGGTGTGGGGATTGGGTATCAGCGTTGTTTAAGCTCTCAAGTGGTTCTCAAGTGCAGGATCACTGTCCTAGGCCAAGAAACTCACTGATTTAGCCCACCGGTAACAGCACGGTAATATCTGGGCAATAAGACGTCCAGCCCGTGCCCTTGTTATGCAATTACTTTTGTGTGTTGTCCCGATTCGGAATGGTGTCTATTTTCATGCCTTAATTTCACAAGCCTGTATTCTGTTAATTTGATTAACAAAGAACACTTTATGCTAACTTTGCTGGCGGCATTAATATCGCACTCCCCTGTGCCACACTCCTTTAGCAGAGGCATACGATTTAGCTTAGTCCTCACATCACATTTACACCCTCCAGTAAGTCTTCATGAGAGAGTGAAAACTGTCGAGTGATGTGGCCACTTTTCTCTCTCTGGATTTTTGCATCGTCGGAGTGCAGCAATGGCAGAGAATTTTATGCACTTAATGGCTATTATTGTGATTAAAATGTGGATACTTCAGTCGTAGTCACCAGAATCCGCCATTATGATGAACTGATCTAATATCTCTATTTATTAAGTCACAGGCTGGGTTCCATCCTCCCCCACCCCACCCCACCTCCAGCGTGATTGAGAACAGGCTTAATTCCTAGAGGGGCTCGTCAGCCTCGCTGAGTTTTAGTTCTGGCCTGCAGATAGCATAGTCATCACTCATTATGGTTATCAGAGGAAACCAAGGTGGATCGATATATATCATGACTACTGGAGGAGGGGAAACTCCAACAGGTTTAGAGTAAAGGATGTGCTGAAGGGATTCCCTGATGGTCCAGTGGTTAGGACTCCTCGCTTTCACTGCAAGGGGCATGGGTTCGATCCCTGGTCGGGGAACTAAGATCCCACATGCCAAGCGGCATGGCCGAACAATAAAAATGAATAAATCCTGCAGAAACATAAAAAATAAAAAAGATGAAATCTTGCCATTTGCGACAACGTGGATGAACCTTGAGAGTGTTATACTCAGTGAAATAAGTCAGACAGAGACAATACCGTATGATTTTACTCATATATGGAAGATAAGAAACAAACAAACAAAACAAGAGAAATGGACAGACCAATACAAAGAAAAACAAATGCGTGGATACAGAGAACAGAGCAGTGGTTACCAGAGGGCAAGTAGGAGGAGGGCCAAATAGGGAAAGGGGATCAACTGTATGGTGATGAATGGAAACTAACGTTTTGGTGCTGAGCACGCTGTAGTGTGTACAGAAGTTGAAATGTAATGTTGTACACGTGAAACTTATAATGTTATAAACCAGTGTTATCTCAATGAAAATAAACTACAAGAACCCCTGTAGGGAGCCGAGGACTGGCAGGAGCCTGAGTCCCTGGCTGCTTCCTGGAGTGCGTGCCTTGCTCACCTTCCTCTGGACTTGATCGACGTGGAACAGAATAAGGACCCAGTTTAGACCGCTGTAATTTTGCGTTTTCTGTCACATGGCATCAAACTTATTCCTAAATCATAGACATTATATATACCTTTGCTTCTAGGGAAGAAGAGGGTCTGATGGTCTGGTGCTTTTTCACCCGCCCTCCCACACCACAGGGACAAAAGGAGAATCCTAAAAGCTTCCAGAGAGAACAGACAGGTCACACACCAAGATTCAAGAATCAGAATTGCATTAGTTTCCCAACAGCGACACTAAAAGGTAGAAGGCAATACAGCAATGCATTCAAAATGCTGAAGGAAAACTTTCTCCAAACCAGAATTTTATACACAACCAAAGTTTAGATATGGAACGAACTTAAGAGTGGCTACGTGACCTGCTTTGGTGATTGGAATGTGGGCAGAAGAGACACGTGTCACTTCGGAGCAGCAGCGTGAGGGTCATCTCTGGTTAGCCGCATCCTCTTCTCCTCTGGCTTGACACTGGTGATGCTCCAGACAAAAGCTGCTCCATCCCCTGGGTCCGGGGACAAAGATGAGGCGCAGCACAGAGCTCCAGGCAACCCATGAGGGACATGTAACACGCCGGAGGAGACATGTTTCTTGTTGGAAGCCAGCGAGGTGTTGGGGCCGTATGTTACCACATCATAACTTAACCTCGGGTGACATACAAAGGGGTGACCTAGAAAAGAGAAAGATATGAGATAAAGGAAAAGGGACCCACCAGAGGAAAAAGAAGGAAGATCCCGGCACAAGAGGACAGATGGTCCATATTGGAGCAGGAGGGCATAGGATTCCTGCAGGGATGTTTCATGAAGTAGATAAAATGACTCAATTACCTGAGGTGCTGGAATATATTGAGAGTAGAGTAACATTTCCAGCAGAGACTCTGGAAAAGAAATGGGTAATAGGTGTATAGAAAATCAAGCAAATGAGGACTAAGACAATTATCAACTCAGAGACAAAAGAAGAGTTGGAGCGAAGTAATGTATTCATAGGACACTGGATGGCTAGGTTGTGAAAAATATTCTCATGGAAATAATGTAAAAATAGATTAAATTAACAAAATTAAAACAACTATATCAGGGGAAATGCTTCCGTGTGTGTGTGTGTGTGTGTGTGTGTGTGTGTGTGTGTGTGTGCTGGAAAATTTTCTGTAATTTTTTTAAACGTCTTTATTGGAGTATAATTGCTTTACAATGGTGTGTTAGTTTCTACTTTATAACAAAGTGAATCAGCTATATGTATACATATATCCCCATATCGCCTCCCTCTTGCATCTCCCTCCCTCCCACCCTCCCTATCCCACCCCTCTAGGTGGTCACAAAGCACCAAGCTGATCTCCCTGGGCTATGCGGCTGCTTCCCACTAACTCTCTATTTTGCACCCTAATTCTTTCTTAACTCTCTCCGTTCCATTTTGTTTTCGCTTTCTGGACTTCCTTTAGTTAGATGTAGTACATCCTGGAACGAACCCCTAGTTTTTGTCTTTTCGCTCCCAGCTTTCTACCTCCTGTTTGGCTCTATTTTCTAAAAGATGGTCTCGACTGTATCTTCCAATACTTGTAAGGAAGTTTTGACCTATGACCTCCCGTTGCTGCCCCTTATCATACAGACACTCAGTAGGGAGGAAGGAGAGGAATGATACTGGATGTGGAGCCAGCCTGGCGGGCCGCACTTTTATATCTTTGTTTATATCCCATATCTCATCCCTAGTGTTATTCGCGCCTTCTTCTTTTCCTTGATGAAATCTTAAAACAAATAAATCATTTGCGGGGGCTGAATTGGCAGATTGCGATGGACATATACACACTTCTATATATAAAACAGGCAACTAATAAAGACCTAATGTATAGCACAGGGCCCTCTACTCCATACTCTGTCATGGCCTATATGGGAAAGGAATCTAAAAAAGAGTGGAGATATATATATATATATATATATATATATATATATATATATATATATA